TTTTCATAAGTAGATTCCACTCATGGTGCCCCGTGTGTGTCAGAGTAGAACTGTGCTCCACAGGGTTCTCAGTGGATGATGTTTCATAAGTAGATTCCACTCATGGTGCCCCCGTGTGTGTGTCAGAGTAGAACTGTGCCCACAGGGTTCTCAGTGGATGATTTTTTATAAGTAGATTCCACTCATGGTGTCCCCGTGTGTGTCAGAGTAGAACTGTGATCACAGGGTTCTCAGTGGATGATGTTTCATAAGTAGATCCCACACATGGTGCTCCTACATGCGTCAGAGTAGAACTGTGCTCACAGGTCTTCCAGTGGCTAATCTTTGGGAAGTAGATCTCTAGGCTTTCCTTCCAAGGCATCTCTGATTGGACTCAAACCTTTAACCTTTGGGCTGTCAGCTGAGAGCATTTACTGCTTGCAGAGAAAACAAAACCTACCCTCCAAGGAGCTCTGGTAGTGTAGTGCTTATGATTTGGGCTGCTAATCTCAAAGTCAGCAGTTTGAAACTACCAGCCGTTCTGTGGGAGAAAGAGGAGGTTTTCTGCTCCTGTAAAGATTTACAGCCTATGAAACCCTATGCAGGGTGGCTATGAGTTGGAACCGACTCCAAGGCACACCACCACCACCACCTCTAAGACCTCAGTGGACTCTGAGGCCATCTGCATGTGTCTGTATGTGGACAATGGTATCTGCATGACCTGTCCGAGAAAGACACAGAAGAGAAGTATGGCCAGAGGGAGTTTAGGGGCCAAGTGGACCTGGCCCAGTGTGTGACCTTCCCAGCATGCACCGCTGGTTAGCTCATTCCTGTTTAATACCTGCCACTTTTCTGTGCCTTAATTCTTTTGAAAATAGCATATTGAAAGCAGTCAAATGAGTGGAGTTACGGAGTTTAAAAAAAAATAAAGTCTGGGAAATGAAGAAGCAGCGCCGCCCTGAAGCCTGAGCCAGGGGATAGCGGAGGAGGCCGCCTGGTGGCAAAGTGAAGGCGAGTGGGGAAACTGAGGCACGCCTCACGAAAACCTCCCCGGGGCATGAGGATTTGGGCACAGGAGCTGAGCTCTGATGCCATACTTGGGGGGGGGGGGGCCTGGAATCCCAAGAAGTCAGAACGCAGTGGGAATGACTGGCCGGAATCACAGCTACGTGCTAGAGCCCGTTCCTTACCCTCTGTGACTCTGCCCTGCATCTTCTCCCCAGCGCTTCGATCGGACCTTCCTGGTGGAGGATGGGGTGCCACTGGAACAAGGGTGTCAGGGCTCTGCTGCCCTGCCCCCCCACATCCTGGCTACGGCACCATTGAGCCCAGTTAGACCAGAGAGGCCTAGGGCCTGGAGTCTGGGAAATCACCCTTCAGTCTCCAAACCTGGTCTCAGTGTTCCTATCTGTGTGATTGTCTACCAGCTCAGAGGCTGAGGAGTCGGTGGACCCCATGATAGCCGAGGGCAAGGGGAACCCAGGAAGAGGGTGGTCTGTACCCCAATCCTTCCGGTGCCCCCTCCAGGACTGGACATGCCGAGCTCTTGTGACAGATAGAGAAGTACCACCAAGCCATCCAACCTGTGAAGCCCTTGGCCACAGCCAGCCCCAGGCCAGGCGAGGACACCAAAGGGAAACAGTGAAGAGGGTGGGCAACAGAGCTCCTGCCAAGCCAGCAAAGGATGCTTCCAGGTGGAGCAGGCAGGAAAGAGGCCAAGCCCAGAAAGGGCACTTGTCCATCTGCAGTGATGGAGGGAGGGCAGTGCTGAGCCATGGGGTGGGCCTTCAGCCTCTGGAGAGCCCAACCCCATCCCTCTGCTGACTTACTGCCCCTAACCCCAACTCCGACCCTCACCTCTTACCTTGAAGCCATCCTGGCCGCCAACCCAGCTGCAGCACGGCCCATACGAGCGGCCAGGGAGCCCGCGGGGCCCGCATACCCAAGTGGCCCCAAGCCACTGTGGGCACTGCCTTCTTCTGGGCTGCTTGGAGCGTCTGGGGCCCGGGAAGGTGGCAGCGGAAAGGAAACTGTCCTGTGTCAAGTCTCAGGGAGGGAACCCGCCCCATCCCCGCCCCATTCCCGCCCCCTCTTCCTCCACCTCCGGCTCCAGCGGGGAGGGGTGCAGGAAGATACCAACAGGGACAGATTTACAAAGACAGATGGATATACAAGGGGACTTCAAACAGTTTGTGGAAAAATGGAATTGAAAGATGATGGAATTTTTCCATGAGCTTTTCGAAGCAACTCATAGATGTATATCTGCATATATCCTGTAGTTCAGTGACCGGCTGGCTGCTAATCAAAAGATTGTGGTTTGAACTCACCAACTGCTCCTAGGCAGAAAGACATGGCAATCAGCTTCCAGGAAGATTTACAGCCTTGGAAATTATGGGGGTAGTTCAGTCTGTCCTGTAGGGTCACTGTGAGTCAGAAGGAACTCGTTGGCTGTGGGAGTTTCTATACCATAATCTGTTTTGGAAGAAATGCTCCTTAGATGTAAAAGATGGTGAGACTTGGTGTCCTGTACTTGGGACATACTGTCAGAAGGGACCAGTCCCTGGAGGACAAACGGAGGATCAGTGAAAAAGAGGGAGACCTCCAACAAAATGGACTAACACAGTGGCAGCGACAATGGGCTCAAACACAACAATTGTGAGGCTGGAGCAGGACTGGGCTGTGTTTTATTCTTTTGTGCAGAGGGTGGCTAGGAGTGGGAACTGAATATCAGCGTTGTTACTGGACTTCCAGTTCATACAGACACAGTTTACTCCAAATAAAACATGTTTAAACATGGCAGCGATCAGTGAAGGGTTGCAAACACATCCTCTCAGTAATACACTAACTTAGTCTCACTAGGGTGTCTCCAAATAAAAAAGGTCCCATCAAAACAGTGGCTTCCAAGGGGACATGCTGGGGAGTTCAATTCAAGGCAGAGAGGACAGATCAGAAGGTTAGGGTGTGTTTTCTGGTATTCCAAAGGGGGTCATCTTGATAGATTGTCCTAAAGGACACAGAATGATCACAAGGACTTATTAGGAAGAAGTTTTAAGAGAATTTAAACAGTATTGATGAGAACAAGGCCAGGAAGATTGCAGTAAGGAACTTTTTTCTCAGCATGACAATATACTTGCTCATTCTTGGAGGGTAGCAAAGGCTGGCCTTGGAAAATTGCATTGGGAAATCTTACTCAATCCACCCTATAGCCCTGGCCTTGCCCCTTCACACTTCCTCTTCTTCCCCAAACTCAAAGAACCATTTAAAGGGAGCCTGGTGTTAATTCCCCGGAGGATGTTGTGATAGACCGTGTTTTGTGTCAACTTGGCTGGGTCAGGCTTCTCAGTGGTTTAACAGTTAAGATGTACGAACCCCCTACGATGGATCTACTATAATCTCTCCATGATGGAATCTGCTATGAGGGGTCAGTCAACTGAAAGGAATTGTCCTTCAGGGTGTGGCCAAGCTGGCTTGCTTTTTGTGAGGTCTGGATCCTGCATCTTGCTCATCATCCAACATCTAGTTACTTGGCCTTGAGCCAGTGGCCTGGCTGCCATGCTGTCTGTCAATCCTGGGGGCCATCAGCAGCCAATCTCGTGGTCATCATCTCCTGCAGCTACATGAATCAGAAGAAACCTCCAGCTTGACATCTGACCGAAGGACTCGGGACTTGCCCACCTCTCCAATGGTGTGAGCCATATCCTTGAGCTAAACCTCTCTCTATACATATACAGGAGTCCTGGTGTGTCAGACTGCAAAGTCGTTAGAACTGCAAGGTTGGCGGTTCAAGCTCACCAGCTGCTCCTTGGAACCCTATGCAGAGTCGCTATGGGTTGGAATCAACTCGAAGGCATTTAACAACAACAACACACATACATAATGAGTCCTGGTGTGGTGCTATAGGATAATGCATTGGACAGCAAGGTTGGTTTGAACCACAAGGTCAGCAGGTCAAATCCACCAGCCATTCCTCAGAAACCATACATAGGGTTGCTATGAGTCAGAACCAACTCGACAGCACTTAACAACAACTTACATATATATTAGTTTTAGTGTTTTTGCTTCTTTAGAGAACCCAGATAGATGCCCAAACTGCTGTTTTGACATGGTGTAAATCGAAGCGGGAAGAATTCTTCTGGGAAAGGGCTAGAAAGATGGAAACACCACCTTAAGAAATGTATAGACCTAGGTGGAGTTGATGCTGAAAAACAATAACTTCATATCTTGGTAATTTCGTTTAACAAAGGTTTCTATGATTTCGTAGCAATACTTTTTGACTAACCCTTAAAAAGTGTGTTTGTGTATCGATAGAGAGATGGGAGGACAAAGAGAGAGAAAGATGGAGAGAGATAGAGAGACAGGAAAAAGAGAGAGACAGAAAGACAAGGAAAGAGAAATGAAGAAAGACAGAGAGGGAAAGAAAGATAAGGAAAGAGACATGAAGACAGAGAAAAAGGGAGAGAGAGATGGAGATACAGAGAGACAAGGAGACATGGAGAGAGACAAGGAGACAAGGAGAGACACAGAGACAATGAGAGATGCAGAGAAGGAGAGATGCAGAGAGACAAGG